TTAACAACAAGTTATTAATGTGTGAGATAACACGTGTGGTGCAGGAGCTTGGGATCGTAGCTTGAAGCGTGGTCTGATGCTNACGAAAGTAATTCTTATTTCCATGGTAACGAGAGCCCCCGCCGCGAGACGCCGCCTGTCTCGATCATCGTTACAGTATTCATTGACTCTCGTATAAATTGTCATTTGTTATAAATCTACGTATGAGACTTAACAACAAGTTATTAATGTGTGAGATAACACGTGTGGTGCAGGAGCTTGGGATCGTAGCTTGAAGCGTGGTCTGATGCTTCGTGGTGTTACAGGCGAGCACTCTGATGTTTTATCCGTGTAGATATAGTGCGAATAGATGAGGCCGCTGATATAAGGCCGTTACTAAAACTCCCAAACTATTATACATATATCTGCTATTGCGATTACATGTGCGCAGTAAAAAGAGTAACAAAGCATTACGAAATGTTACAGATTAGATACATACTTTGGAGGAGTTTACGTGTTCACGAAGGATTTCAGATAATAATATAAGTCTTAAATAATCCCACATCATATGTTGAACTATTTTTTACTGTAAAATAAAATTCACGATCTACCTGATGAGAAGTTGTGATCGCCACCCTTTTACTACAGCTCGTTTCAATATTCTGCTTTAAAAGAGAGAGAAAGAGATAACAGAAAAGTATCCGAGCTCCTTGACTACACAAAACAAGGCGTAGAAAATAGGAATTTATGTGACTGCATGTCGTAAAACATAATTATCGATCCAGAATATAAATCAAGAGATTATTAGTGGGCCCACAATGAGAGCCTTGTCGTCGTAGCTTTACGGTCGATGCGACAAGAACTGTTAGGAACCCGATCAATGAACTATACGAATTGTCTTATTTTAAGTATACTTTTACTGTATTATATGTTTTCGATGGTGTAATGTGTGATGAAAATCGAGCCATTTAGTCGCAAACATCTTCAATACCAAATATTAACGACTATAAGCTATTAGTTATAACAGATGTACGAACGACTTGTGAGCGTTGATGAACCGTTAATGCACCACATTGATTCTGCAAAGCACTGCTCTTGCCAGTGCTAGCAACACTCCAGGTTTGAGCCCCGTCAGTTCACCTATACGTCAAAGATAAGCTGAAATGCCTCTCAAGGCTATTAGCATAGGTAAGGGAAAAAAATATAGAATTACCGAATATTAACTGAACCGACAGGTAGATTCGTGCGACCACGTCGCCGTGGTCTCTCGCATGGTGACCCCCACAATACAATTAATACATATAATAAAATATCACGTTTTCATTAAATACGTTTATAATGAAATATTTAAAAAATTTTTTTTGTCTTATAATACTTTTTTAAATGAACGAAGGTCATAATTAAATGCGATGTCTCAATTTGCAAATTAAGCTGTTTTTAAATATATTGCGTCTAAGTCATTAATGCAAAAACTTAAATTTTTTTTGAACTACTAAATTATTCATTTCGAATATTTTTTTTTTGTAAAAAATGTATTTCTATAGTAAATACGAACAGATAAGTACCTGCAAGAGATTACTCGAAGCGTAGCGCCGTCTATGGTGACATTCACGTCCTTCACTAGTTTGAGATTTACTGTTCGTTGCTACGTGTTCTAGTTTGAACTTATTTTGTTCTCATTAAAATCAATTTTTAATACTTAATTTTCATACTTATCTCTAAATTGTATATTTTTGTCTCAAGAATGCAAAGGTCAATCGAGAGTCCGAGGTATCATTGAAACATTGAAAATTGAGCTGTTTTAGCTAATAAAGTTTTGTCCAGTTATTATTAACTTTTGATCGTGCATATAATGTTGTGATCGCATAGTAGCTAGCACCGCGTTACCTGTATCAGCCGCGAATCTTCAGGTGTTTCAGTATGAATGGTAGTGTGTGTTGCGTGAGCTCCACGAAGCATCTAACATCAGGGGCACTGAGACCGTAGGTTCACTTTTTTTTGCCCTTATAGGCAGACTTGCGTACGGCCTCCCTGATGGTGAGTGTTTATCGTCGCCCATGGACTTCAGAATGCCAGGGACAGAGCCAAGCCGCTGCTTACCGTTAAGTACTCTCCACAAGCGTCGTTTGAAGAATAATATGTCGTAGCGCTCGGGAAACACCGTGGAGGGGAACTCATTCCAAAGCCGGATGGTAAGTTTACGACATAAAGAATCGACTGAGTATTGTTGCATCACATGTTCGGACGAGTTATTTGTCGCCTGCCGCGCCTGTACATTCCTGTTGCTGTTTCAAAAAGTTCTTGTCCAGTAAGTACCCCGACGGGCGGACGACGTTGCGACTCACTTAAAAACCAGATAGCCAACTAAATTATGGATTGCCCGCAAACTGAGATCTAATTTACTTACCGACATTTATCGAAACTGATTACACGATTAACATAATTAAGTATTTATTCAAATCAGTAAAACAAACATACCTAGTTCTGAGACGCGTGGGCGTTTCATTAATATGTTAATATCTCCCTTATTTTAGAGTTTCATATTTCGTTAAATTTATTATTATTTCATATTTCATTACTATTTTAATTTAGTAATGTTACAAAGGGCGGTACAAGATATTAGGTATTTTTATTATCGATTTGATTTTTAGAGATAATTACTTAATTTTATTATAAACTAAAATGTAAATTTTAAAAACACGTACGATATCAGCGCTTATACACCGGGCTAATGATATTCTGTCTGCAGATAAAAAATACAGCTATCTTTTTACAAAAAAAAACAGAGCGTGAGTTTCCAAAATAGTTCTAAATGACATTTGAATGCTAAATGCAGATGGGCTCATTCTAAAATTACTCGAACCAGTTATTGAAAACTAGTGTCACGCTAGGTGTCATCGCCTTGTTTAATTCTGCCTTAGAACAGTAATGCGTTTCAGTTTGGGCAGTCGTTGTATTGTAAAACTGAGATCTTAGAGCTATTGTCTCAAGGTGAGTGGTGGCATTTACGTTGTAGATGTCTATGGGCTCCGCTAATCTAACACTAGGTGGGCCGTGAGCTCGTCAATCTATCCAAGCAATAAAAATAATTGTTTCAAATTAGAAGACTCTCTTTGATATTACGTTGTCATATTGAACGAATACACATTGTTTGTTTGTTAATTCAAAACATCTCTGTGCATTCGATATTTAACAATTTTACGTAACAGAGAAAAACAAAGCAATAGATGTGTTTTATTACTATAACACCACTCCGACATTTAAGCCCATGACCCTATCCATGATAGAAGACCAACGCGTCATAAAAGTGTTCAGTCAATCATCTAGTTCGGCGGTACGACGCCGGATCACCAAGCTTGACATAATTTAACTTGCTTTACTAATTAACCGTAGGTGTTTTATATTTGGTAGTTACAAGTTGCGAGCGACGATTTACGACACTTATAAAAACTTAATTTGGGTGAAGAGTACACATAAATTATAATTACATTGAACTTACAAACGTTTCATCGGAGCTACGAGCTTAGCTTGGAATTCTGTAGAGATGTTAGTTAGGCGTGATATATGGGCGCAGCCGACACGGAATAAATTTAACGTTTTCTAATTAATATCGTGGACTTTTTTGTGTTCATTAATTCTAAATTGTACGTATCTAGGCGTTATTATGTGCGTTAGTGAAATTCACGAAAATTTGATTGCGTCTTTAGCGGTTTCTGTAATTAGCGTCAACATTAGTTGTGGGGCGTAATGTGAGCCCACACTGCCTGCTTACGCAACCTAGGGGTGATACGTTTCTGCTTGAAAGGTGGGACAGAGATATGGAGACTTCACCCTAATTAACCGAATATCGATTTTCTTTAGCAAAACTGAGCTTAAAGAAATGTATTCTGTATTTCCACATAACACATGTTATACGTGTGTTTATTAACATATTTTTTTAAATTTTAATAACTTTACATTTAGGTTAAGCTGTGAACATAAGTTTATTGACACACAAACTAGTATGAAATGATACATATTAATTTCATATGTAAAACACGGCACGTGTTCTGAATTGTAATTTCGAAGGGCCGTTATCAATATTCATTTAATTCGAATAGACATTCAGAACGATACTTTGATTAATTAATCGATTTTACGAAAATTACAAATATTGCTATGAATATTTTTTTCCACATTCCTCGTTTCTCCGCAGGTTTGGAAGTGAAGAGCACCACAAACTTATAATATCTTTTGAAATGAAATATGTTTTGATCGATGGGACAGCTAACAGAATCGTTTTTAGAAAAATAAACTTCGACCACATGGTTCAAGATGGATGTTTGCCTTTACATAGTGGAGTATAAGCGCTCCGTTAAACATATGAGGCGGGCTGTGAGCTTGTTCACGGATTTGATCCAGCAAACGCTAAAATTTAAAATAACGCATCAATAGTGTTGATTGTGTGAGCAGTTTACGTCCATTATAATGCCAGGCAAAGAAGTAAGTTCAAATATCCGTTGTTTTTCTCGAAACATAAATATAATATGGCTAGGCTTAGAACGAGATGAACAAATTTCTCCCGGGTCGAGTGGTGTGGTGGTCATCTGAGCGGACATCTGAGCGTTCAGTGGGTTCGCTCGAAGAGGTTTCAAGAAGAAGCCCGGGTTTGGGCGAGTTCTCCTCAAGTCTGATGGATGGCGTTAATTAATAATGATCTCTCGAGTACAACTAACGTTTCAGTGTTACGATAACGATTAATAGTTTTCGATAAGATAAGTGCAATTAATTTGTTAACAGATACGATGATGTCTTCGAAATTACTTTCCATTCGAGTCTAACGCTATTAATAATGTCAATATGTCGCCAACAGGTTACCGACTGTTACAGCAACACTTGTAAATCTAATTAGCATTAAGAACATTTTGACTTTTAAAGAGTGACTAGTATATAATAATATTATTATTTTGCTAAAAGGATCATACACGACAATATTTTCATTATTTCATACCGAATGTTGTATGTCAGTCTTATTGCAGTTTTCATGAACTCGGGTAACCCCTTAAAGTCATTGGGGCGTGAGCCTGTTGGTTTCACAATTCACGACTCATATCGCGCTCCTCTTAACACATTCATAATTTTCTACTTCGTTAAATTATTTTTGGAATTTCAAAGCAACGATCAGTACAGCATTAAATAAAAATTAACTTAATTTATACACGCGGCGTCGGTCGCCGTATGTATTTTAATGACTTTTAATGCACGTACGCCACATGAATTATTCATTTAACCATTTTGGCACACGAACATACATGCATACTCGTTTTCCGTTATATTTGTACTTTACATCGGTTTTGTACATAGAAATTATTGTTTTAATGTGTTCTGAGCAAACAATGTCATTGACACTTTGTTTGTAGAAATCATTTAGTTTAGTAGGCTTTTGCATCAATAGGTCTTGGAGTACGGCCGGGTCGAACACGCCAAGCAGAACATTTGCGTACTATGGAAGATTTAAAGCTGTTAGCAGTTCAGTCTGGTTCATATGAACGGGTACATACGTATACACCTAACTAGTTTTCACACCGTTCACTCAATGTTAAGCCGTACTTCTAAATCTCAATGGGCTTCGTATAATAACGATCCAACCCTTCACACTAGAATGCTCACCCCCGATTACTCTCTTTAGACAACCCATACCCTGGGCCAGGAAGGTCAAGTACCTGGGCGTTACCCTGGATGCATCGATGACATTCCGCCCGCATATAAAATCAGTCCGTGACCGTGCCGCGTTTATTCTCGGTAGACTCTACCCCATGATCTGTAAGCGGAGTAAAATGTCCCTTCGGAACAAGGTGACACNGAGATGTATTATTAAAATGCTGTAATAATCTTAGTAGCAAAAAGGTAAAGTGAAATAATTGTATTATTTGTATTCATGTCTATGATAATAAAATCCTTTTGTTTAAACTTTATCTAATTTAACTTTATTTAACCAATTTCTAGAAAGTTGCATGTAGATCATTTTTCGAAAAATAAGGCCATAAACAAGTTTCACTTCTTACGTGTGTAAGAAGCACAGAAGTAAGAAGTACACGCACACATTTTTTTTTACTCTATGACAGTGACACTTAAATTCCTTTGCCTATTTGTCATCTCACAATTTTTTTTTGCTTATTTGGATGGACTAGTCCTCAGCCCACCTGGTGTGAACTGGAGCCCGTAGACATCTACGACGTAAATGCGCCACCCACCTTGAGATATAAGTTCTAAGGTCTCAGTATAGTTACAACGGATGCCCCGCCCTTCAAACCGAAACGCATTACTGCTTCACAGCAGAAATAGGTGGTGCCTACCCGGGCGGACTCACAAAAGGTCCTACCACCAGTCATCCAGTGTGTCGTCTACCGGGTCTACTTACCTGGTTCTTGCCTGCGTGCTCCATCACCTTCTCGTAGACGATGTCGTTCATCACCTGGAACCGCTTGAGAGCTTTCTTCTCCGTCACGCCGATGTACTGCTGCTCGAGGGCCACCGGTCTGTTCCATCAACACTTTATTAGTAATACCTTCCGACGCCAGTAAATATTAACAGCCTCGACTATACCAGCTAAGCGAAGACAGGTAAAAGAGAGAAGCTCAGTGGGCTGTATCTACGGGTTAAGTGGCAGGATGAGTGGTGCTTGGACTTGACCTAAAGGTGTTATTTATTAGGTCATAAAAAAAAAGTTGTTCTGTATCCGGTAGCTACCCTCTTTTCGCTTAAAAAATAAAACTATGCGTTCAGCATTCATTCGCAGTCTTTCTTACTTGCTAACACGACATCTCCCATCTCTCTCTCACTCAGGCATTCATCCACACCATTACGTTGCGTTACATAGACCCACCTGAAGGAGTTGTCGAAGTAGAAGAGTCCCTTCTCGGGTCGCACGCGCAGGAAGGTGGCCACGTCCGTGTAGTTGGGCAGCGTGGCGGACAGGCCCACGAGCCGCACCTGCGGGCGCACACGCAATATTACAAAACTCGCGCCGAATTAAATGCGATTTATCTTTTTTCTTTATGGTATTCGAAAATCTAAATTTAGAGTTTAAATGTTTATATAGTAATAAAATGCAATAATCTCTCCCTGGAACACGCTGCGACGGATGTGTGGAGACGTAGCCCACGGAGGATTGACGATAGGGTAGAAGTGGTGGTAGTAGTAGTAGTGACGGTGGTGGTGGTAGTAGTAGTAGTAATAGAGGAGGTGGTGGTAGTAGTAGTACTGGTGATGGTGGTAGTAGTGCGACGGTGGTAGTAATAATAGTAATGGTAGTAGTAACGCGTTACCTCCTCCCGAGTCTGCTCGACCGTCCGCAGGGTCCGCGCCACCAGCGCCTCCAGCACGGGCCCGCGCTCGTCGTGCAACAAGTGGACCTCGTCTATGATTATAAGCCGGACCAGGTTCGTGAAGGAACGTTCCCCGCCTGCGCAGACAAACAGAGTGTCAATAACGACCGCGCGTGTTTTGTCTACGCGAGTGACATTATTATTATTACTGACAGCGGATGAGCTGACATTATAGGAAATGACAGATGTACATACTGCAACTCGAATGACATTTGTGACATAAACCATGTTCCCAATTCAATATGCATCGTTTAGTTTTCGCGAGTGGTATATGCGATATCTATATATTAATACGTGAAGCAAAAACTTTGTATCCCTTTTTACGAAAATTGCGCGGACGGAGGAGTATGAAAATTTCCACACTTATAGGGAATATAGAGAAGAAGTGCTAATCATTTTTTTTCTCCTACCTACGCCGAAAGTTCGGTTCCTCCCGCTGTACAGGGAAGAAAGTGTAAAGTGTAAGCCAAATCGGTCCAGCCGTTCTCGAGTTTTAGCGAGACTAACGAACAGCAATTCATTTTATATATATATATATATATATGGATATGCTAACCCTTCCTGGTGATGATGTCCCACTTCTCCGGAGTGCACACGATGAGCTGCGTGGCCTCGATCTGCTCCCTCGTGAGCTGGTGGTCGCCGGTCAACTCGGAGACCTTCATGTTGTAAGCGGACAGACGCTTGCTGAAGTTGCCCACCTGAAATTTTACATTTTAACAACATATTTTTATCATTATTTTTCTAATGAGTGTAGTAGGTATCAACAAAAATCTCTTTACTTTGTGAAAAAGTATTATTCAGGATTTCGTATTACTTAAAATTATTCATGGTATTTTTATTCAATTAATTTAATCAATTACTAATTTCATGTTGTCAACTATTGCACTGTCGATTGCATCTATAATTGAGGTGACATCTATTACGAACTTATTGTCAATTGTTTTTTTTTGTTTTTGTTTTTTTTTTTTGTATTGATGATCAATTTGTTGGAGCATCTAAATAAATAAATAAATATTGTTACGCCGATAACAGTAACGCTATCTATCGCCGAATAGCCGAAACGAATATCAAAGGAACTAGTAAAGTCAGAAAGCTCGAGAAGTACAACGACATCTATTGTTAGATAGCGGTAACACACATCAAAGCTACTCGACTTGCCCGGAATGTTCTCGATAATTCTAGAGATATCGTATCGACTATAAAAGCGTTGCAGAGACGTTGTTTTGAATGTTTTAAGTTAAATAGAGTTGCTAATCTATAGTTCCGTAGAATTTTTAATTGTAACCCCAGCGCGTAACAATATTAAAGAAGACAGAGAACCTCACAGTGAACTTTGGATATCGTAAGGCGCCTAAAGGTATACCACCAGCCTGCCATTTCCGGATTTTTTTTTGTTGTTGCTTAGATGCGTGGACGAGCTTACAGCCCACCTGGTGTTAAGTGGCTACTGGAGTTACCCGTGCGGACTCACAAGAGGTCCTACCACCAGTAAAATTAGGCTTGAACAATTCGGCTTCAAGAGTGAAAGACAACATTATCCTGACCCCCCCCCCCCTTACAACCTAGCACGGTAACGGACGCGCACGCACCATTTCCTGCACGAGCGAGCGCATCGGCGCGACGTATATCATCTTGAAGTCGTTGACATTGACAGTGCCGTCGTCGTTGACGTGCTTGCCGACCTCGCGAAGCACGCACAGCAGCGCCACGTTGGTCTTGCCGGCCCCGGTGGGCGCGCACACCAGCAGATTCTCGTCCGACTCCAGCGCCGGCTTCGATATGCGGCTCTGTTCAGTTACGATACGGTATTAAAACAAAAATACGCGTAGACTGATTAAAAACTAATTTAGTAAAAGACAATGCGTCGAACGAACATGGCGATAAGTTTACGATTCATTAAAAAAACAACAACTGGTTTCGTGCCATTTTAAAATAGTTAATGACATGCGTCAGATGTAAATTACTTGCTTAGTCTGATATAAATTAATTTACGAATTACTTCCTCGATAAAGGAACTTTTTTATTGCTTAAATGGGTGAACGAGCTCACCTGGTGTTGTTAAGTGATTACTGGAGCCCTTAGACATCAACATAGTAAGTATGACCCACACTGAGACATGAGACCTAAATCTCAGTTTTACAGTATATCAGCTGTCCCGTCCTTCAAACAGGGCAGAGTGGTGCTACCTCCCCCGTGCAGGCCCATAAGACGCCCTACCACCATTAGTTACGCAAACAATTCATTTCATATTAATTAACAGGTAGGCAGACAACGGCTTGGCTCTGCCCCTGGCATTGCTGAAGTCCATGGGCGACGGTAACCACTCACCATCAGGTGGGCCGTATGCTCGTCCACAAGGGCAATAAAAAAAATCGGTTGTCTGTAGAGTCGGTTTACTGACGATAGTTGAACGTGACAACGTCATAAGAAAATACGATAATAATAAATGGAATGGTTTCATTTTTCAAAAGAAAATTTTAATTTTATTTGTTTGATAGATATTTTGTATGGACAATTGACACCACATTCACTTTTCACTGAACTTCATACTTGACGAAAACATGTAAATGTATTATTGTATAGCAGCTGTCCACGCGGATGCATCGCTCACTCAAGTAGGAAAGAGACAGATGTCGAACGCTGCCGAACGCGGAGGCCGTTTGTGCCTCTTTGTCGCTCGTTGCGCGCTCCCGCTTGCACTTCAAACCTTAAATGGAACGCCTCAGAGCGAGGTAACGCCGCATGAGTCATGTTTTTTCGTGCGTGCAGCCGGCTCCATCTTTGGTAGTCGTTGATGGTGGTTGTAAGGTCACCAGTGCCGGGCGGCACAATAACGAGTCCGTAATTGGATGGACAGTTTATTTCCAATCACAGATAGTATAGCAACATTTAGAAGGAGAAATTACGGAGTACAGAAGGCACAGATAAAGCGGTAGCAAGTTCAAACACAATAATACAAAATAGATGAAAGAAATAAATCGTAACGCAGCGAAAGAGTACGCGTAAGTCGAAGAGTGACACAGTCTTAGCGTAGCGTTGATCAAACCCGACTGGCCGCGAGCGGCGGCCGAGTCGTGGCGCAGGCGACGACCAGTACGTACGCAGCTATACATAGTCGGGGTCTTTGCCGCATACTAGCGGTTACGCTCGACTATGCTTGTGTAAATAATATAATTTTGAGTAGTGTTGTGAATGTATGATTGTTTGGCATATTTGTGTACTGTATGAGAGTGTGTTATAGAATACGTAATTAAATATGATATAATATTAAATATTGAGTAGGTGTGCAATGTAAATTAATAAATAATATGAACTAATATACATAAATATAGTAGAAACACCTACAACTATAAGACGTTGTCACGTCAAAAAAATTAGTAGTCGACGCTGCCTGTCGCTCCTCCCAGGCCTCCACGTCATCACCTGTATTCTATTCAGGGTCTTGAATCCCTCGAACGCTGGCTGGACGTATTTGGGCAGCTTCTCGATCGGCACCAGTGTCTCGTTTTCTTCAAACGGCTTCGGTTTCAGAGCCGGCACGTGGACTTCCTCGTAACCTGGAATTGAAACACAAAACACAAGTATTTAACAGCTGCCTGAAACAGTGAACTAAACCTAGGCCCGATGATGATCATACTAATTGCTAGACCAACTAAGCGATCCACCATTGTCAAAACGAACCAGGCTTTTTTTATTTTATTTTTTTATTGCTAAGATGGGTGGACGAGCTAACGGCCCACCTGGAGTTAAGTGGTTACTCGAGCCCATAGACATCTACAAGGTAAAAGCGCCACCCACCTTGAGATATAAATTCTGAGGTCTCAGTATACTTACAGTATATATCGACGCTTGAAAGGCAAAAGTGACTGAGCGACAATGCGTGAACTTTACAGTAGACTAATTTAAAGTTGAAATACCTGAAAAAAATTCTATTCTAACGAATCTAGCTGTAGGATTGAAATTGTTTTAATGGACCTAGAAATAAATTTTTTTGCACATCGAATATGGTTATTGCCTATCATTTATGTACAAATCAGTTATTGTCGCTTAGTCACGTTTGCCTTTCAAGCGTCGATATATATTATAGTCTATCAGATAAGTAACACAGATGGCTCAGACACGAGGATACCTTTGCCCTGACTTTGAACCGGGGTGTAAATGAGACTAGTTTCCAGCTAAACAAGTCTCTGTACTAACCTTTTCGCTGCTTCCTGAATGAGCCCGGAGGCAGCTGACACCTCTTGTTGGCCATGAAGTGCGACCCGGCCGCGAACACCAGGTCCTCGAGCTGCACCACCTTCCTGGAGCCTGCCACCTGCCCGGACGCAGAGCTGCTCTCGGCCTCAGACTTGTGCCTCTTTCGGGGGGCCTCCGAGTGAGTGTCCATTTTCTGCAATAGAACGGTTGTGGCTGGTCAAAACATCAAGAGAATAATAAATAACAGCTGTTTAGGGACAGCTGTATGCAATATGCTAAATGCAGACAATATGATTGAGACACCGACCTCACGTTTCAAGTATGTTGTGGAGCTCACATCGTGATGTCTATGGGCTCGGATAGCCTAGTCACGGTTTTGTCAATTATCATTTAAATTGGCGTTTCCCAATGTCGGGCCCACGCTCCACAAAGGGGCAATTTGATAATTAAGGGGAGAAATCGCACTAAACGAATATAGAAAATCTGTATTAAAATTATTTTGAATTGCAATTTCAGTTTTTTATTATATGTTTTGAAGTATTACTTACTGTATTTTGATAACAATTTCATAGTGATTTCTTCCCGAAACTTATCATTTATGTTTCTTAAGTGAACAAATCAATTTTTAATGTTAATAATTATGTATGGGGGGCATAAAAATGTTACAATGGGACATGGCACAAAAAAGGTTGGGAAACGCTGATTTAAATGAATCATTTCACCATGGACCTTCCCTAAGCGTTGAACAAGCAACTATTCATTTATTTTCAAGGACCTCAACAGTAAGCAATTGCAAAAGATATTTTAAATAAGTTACGATAAAAAAACAACACAAATAATTATTATTTTCTGTCAATGTGAACAATGTATGTGGAATTTTGTATAAATATAATAACGAGAACCTGAGAAATGGGAGAGTGTTGAAAACCCTTACCTCATCATCTCCATTGCCGGTCTCCAATTGCGCCAGGATCTTCTGTAAGTGAGGCTGCCGGGACATCTCCTCACGTATCGACACGCGCTCGCTCTCCGACTGGGAGGACGCCAGCTTTGTGCAGTACAGGACTGTGGACCAAAATCCATACTCATCATCATCTCGGCCTATAGCTATCCACAGTCTCTCGAATCGATCTAACTATACTATACTGAGACCTTAGAACTTATATCTCAAGGTGGATGGCAGATTTACGTTTTAGAAGTCTACGGGCTTCAGTAACCACTTAACAGCAGGTGGGCTGTGAGCTCGTCCACCCAACTAAGCAATAAATAAATAAAAAAAAATCTCCAGCATCCAACGTAACCCAGCGATATCAGTCTTCAGTTCATCTGGTAGGTAACCATTCCACACTGCACTGCAATTCTAATGTTAGAAATGTGACCATGTCCTTCTATCACATGGAACAAACCACAAGACTGACATTGACAGTGTCAAGTCAGAAGAGTAACGTAGGCTACCTTCTATCCCAAAACTGATTCCGATCCGATTCCACCAGGACCCTACACTGACACTAACTCTATTCCCTGACCATGCTCAGGTGAGACTAGAGGTAAATTATGAACATACAATCAAGGACATAACAATTCAATGCCATTGTGTCGTTTGTCAAACGATTCCATGCTTTTTGTTCAATAACTACATATTATTAAGGGCTTTACTGCTACTGTGATTGATGACAAAAAGTATTAACTAATTTAATACATAAGACTAATCTGATTCATAAGGTATCAGTTCTGGTGGTAGGACCTCTTGTGAGTCCGCGCGGGTAGGCACCACCACCCTGCCTATTTCTACGGTGAAGCAGTAGTGCGTTTCGGTTTGAAGGTTGGGGCAGCCGTTGTAACTATATTTGAGACTTTAGAACTTATATCTCAAGGTGGGTGGCGTGTTTACGTTGTAGATGTCTATGGGCTCCAGTAACCACTTAAAACTAGGTGGGCTGTGACCTCGTCCAGCCATCTAAGCAATAAAAAAAAGGAAAGTTTTCCAATACGTAAAAGGTTATTTTTTCCTCAAACCGGGATTGTTGCTAACACTGGCCCTAGCAAGAGCCGTGCTTCGCAGAATCTACCACCGGATCGGAAACGCGACCCACTGAGAAAATCCGGCGAGAAACTCAGTGGGCTGTGTCTCAGGGTTAATTCACTCGACGGTGACCAGTGCTTGTGGTCCCTAAAAGCACCGTTAATGGATCGGGCGGATCCGTAATGACGTATTAAGGGCGAAGCGAAAATAGGGCAGGTTGCTAGTCTATATAACTAGTCAGGTCATAAGTATTGTCACACAGTAAAAACTTTTCTTTTAGAATGCTGGCCACAAAAAAGTTTTTTGAATTCGAATTGCGAATTGTTGAAAATAAAAATGTATACTTTCAGAATTTTACTCATTTTTAAATATGGAGTGGACGCTTAAAGAAGACTGTGTTGCAGTTATTGCGTTGCATCGTTGCGGTTACGCGCCAATTCAAATTTTTAACATACTGAAAAATTTGAATATAACCAAAAGATACGTTTATCGTACCATCAAACGATACAATGAAGACTCTAGTGTAGATGACAGGTCAAGAAGTGGTCGCCCTCGGTCTGTTAGGACTCCAGCAGTGATAAAAGCTGTGAAGGCGCGAATTCAAAGAAATCCCAAACGTAAGCAGAAACTGGAGGCCCTTCAGATGGGGTTAAGCAGAACCACGGTGAAAAGGGTGTTAAATGAAGACTTAGGGCTTCGGGCATATCAAAGAAAAACAGGACATCGTTTGAATGCTCGTCTAATGGACCTGAGACTGAAGAGATGCCGCGCTTTGTTGAAGCGGTACGCGGGAAAAAATATCGGGAAATTCTTTTTTCGGATGAAAAAATTTTTACCGTAGAAGAGAGCTACAACAAACAAAATGATAAGGTGTACGCACACAGTAGTGAAGAAGCGAGCAACCGTATTCNCCGAACATACTGTTGAAGAGCAACCCGGTCGGCGGTGTATCGCGTTCCGACCCGGCAGGCTGGTTCTGGCCCAGCGGGGTATCCCGGAACACCAGCGGCACCGCCCGGGCGGCCTGGTAGGGCCGCCGTACCGCGGAGACTGACGTCGTTGGTCGTCGACTATCGCCTCGACGACCCGTCAGTCGGGCGTCCTCGGGGTGGCGCCGCGTGTCTGGTTGTAGTGTTGACCGCGGGAACCCCCCTACTCTGAACGGGTTCTGACCCCGGACGGAGATCGGACGTCGGGTGTAAGAGGGCAGGGGAGTCGTTTAGTGGGTGGGCCCTAAAATCCTTGGGCCCGCGATCTGCTCTCAACACCTGCAGATCGTTGAGTCTCACATACCCCGCGCGCCCCCTAGGCGCGGAGACCTCGTAGGAGGTTCGGCCCCCGGCCCGAAAAAAAAAAAAAAAAAAAAATGTTCGCTAAACGCGACGGTCTGATTGTTCTGGTTCGGTCGGTTAAAGTCAAGATTTTGACTGACTCGATGTAGTAGGTAGCGCTCTCCGACTGTTGCGCCGAGGGCCGTGGGTTCGATTCCTACACATCGGGCAAATGCGAGATGAACAGGTTTAATTGCTCTCTAACTGGGTATTTATTATCTACATATGTACATATAAAATTAAACGTACTTAAGTATGTTTGTCAGTCTCTGGTACCCATAACACAGTGAATCCTGAATTGGGCCGGATGACCGTGCATGATTTAGTTCCAGTTGTTATTATTATCTTGAAGATATGTTTAGTATAATTTAGGTTTTTCCCTTTTTGATTTTTGTAGACAGACGAGCACGTGGCCTACCTGGTGATAAGTGGTTACTGTCGCTCTTGCACCTCAGAGAGGCACAGCCAATTCACTGCTACTATTGAGTACTTTCCATAAGCTTCATTGTATGTATTGTATTTCGGTGTATTTACTTTATGTCTAGCTACGCCTACCATCAGTACGTCTTGTTTTGGAATCAAAATGTGACGAAAATATTTTAGGATTAAGCTTTATCCGTTTCATTTTAAAATGAAAGTTAAATTCAAGTTGCATGTCGAACGTTACGTAGAATTCGACGCTTACTTTCAAGTAGATGTCATCACTAGGATTTAAACTTACAACGGCAAGAATAAATTTGTTAGTGGTATCGGGAGGTCAAATTCCGTGACCTTTCCGGAAACAAGGTCGGCACATCAGGCGAAGAGTCCGCTCTGAACGTATTTGAACGGCGCATTTCAATGTTTCGACGCAGTTACAATCGATCGCTACCAAATATAAACATTCATTAATTGGAAGCACCCGCTTCATTGTTCCAGATATATGACATGTACTACAATTTCAATTAGGTGGACTGTACAAATAATATTTAAGTAAATAATTAAGAAAATACGAACTATAACCTGGGGCTTACACGAGATATTAATTGAAGATGAACGGAAGAGGGCACGGCGCGGCCCACGCAGTGTCCGGTAATGACAGGTCCATGAGGACACGTCCAAGGATCAGTAGCGTTGGAAGGACTAGCCCGGACCGGCCGTTGTCCACTAATATCCGTAAAATAATGTTTATTCATCATTCAAAGAATGTGAGCATCTTAAATGTGTTCGTAGAAACAAATGTAACTCTGAGAAGGAAAATAGTTTGAATAACCGTTAAATAAACGGTAAAACCACAAGCACGAGATCAACTGCATTATGTTTGTCAAGTACGATGTCGCTCCTCTCGATCTGCTAGGTCCTGGCTCCGTCTTTGAGTACAAATTAAGATGAACCTTTAAATACGCACATTGTCTGGTAACGCGTGAGGGTACAAAACTGTAAAACATGCGGATCTGTGCCCACCCTCGAGTGAGCAAGCTTGTGGTCTGACGACACGCTCATAGCTGCTGAGTCTGACGTCAATTAGAGGACAGAAAATTTGTAGTTTTGATTGATTTCCATAAACTATAACATATATTCCGGAATATTATATTATTGGATATATAATATATTATTGGAACGAAGTTCCTTACGCCAGGCTTGGAGAGGATAGGGATTTTGCTGCGCGACCGAACTGAAAAAAATGTGATAGTAAAACCGTAAGAAAAAATCCGTGGAAAAAAGTGCGTGGAATAAAACCGTTAAATGAGACGTGCGCAGGCGCGACAGTCGCATACACAAGCGAGTAGTGTATAATACCTTTCTCTTTCTACTTCTTTCTTTTCGTTCTCTAATCCCTTCTCTCTCTATTTAGTAATTATTTCTATTTCTATGTAATTTTATGTTGTCAACCAAAAATAAAGAGACATATTTTGTTATTTTAGTTGATAATTTGAATTACGATGTTTTTTTATTTTAAGTAATTTATTATTTCCTAAAATACTGAATTTCCTAAATACTTTCTTGTACTTAAATAAAAACTAATCAGCAAAATTTAAGAGAAAAATCAAGAAAACCTACATAAAATTGAGCACGATTTTTTTTGTAATTTGTGTCGATTCTACATTAGCCGAAGGAACTTCGTTCATACCTGATGTCCCACGACACCACATAATTTCTTTTTTATATAAATTTAATTCAAAATTTAACCTCCAGAGACATGCGCATGACTGTGATGTCAACTTTCGCTTTAACAAAAGATCTCCATTCCTTAGGCCATGCATTTATTTAATTTTTATTATTAATAAAGTTTCAGTCTAACTTCGATCTCAGTCTACAATCAGCAGCTTGATCGGGGTCTCGGTCCGATCGATACTTTGAAAAAACATCTTATTTGATAAGAAACCTTTTCACTTATAAATTTTAGGCACTTTATCTAAACCGGAGGCTGAAACTCTGAATGCAACATTTAATTTAATAGACAGATACACAGACAACGATTCCAGCGGTTATCCGTATCATCTCAGCTCTGCTATGATTTAAGCCCGAGCTTTTAATATTTATCTGTAAATTATATTATTAATTATCGTAATCATCTGCCACTAGCAAGCTGAAGAAGTATGTTACGAGCTTCTCAGAACAGGTACCAAGGTCCTGTTTGAATTCCAGAGCACATGACGTTTTATCCATTTTAGCCGTTTAGATGTTTTAGCCGTGAGTAGTGGCCTCAATGGAATAATATAAACGACCTCATATTCCCTCACTAAGCATCAGGTGGTCCGTGAGCTTGTCTCTCGTTTAAAGTTATCGAAGAACAACATAGTGTTCAGCTCGTTGAAGTCTTTTGAATTAATAATGAAAATGACTTAAAATAAAGATTACGCCATCTAGCGTAATGTATTAAAATTAATGCCAGAGCTAAATACTCAGAAACTTGCTAATTGCTATGAAGCATATCTAAATTGAAAATTATTCTAAATGCTTAATTTTTATTTCGTTTCTTTACGTTCTGTTTTTTTACTATTCTCAATTATTATAATTACATTTTGATTTTACATCGTGAAAATAAATTCCACCGGGTCTGATCACGAAGGTTCTTTGTTGAAAAATAATCTATAATGAAGCAGAAACGCTGGAATTTATGTTTGCAAAACGTACTAGTAATTTTGAATGTCCAATAGATGGCGCTATTATAAATATTTTATAATTTGTTTTTCTGCACGAAAGACTTCAACGAGTATCATTATACCTATATTATCGAAAAAGTCGGACTGGTGAA